ACCAACTCCAATCGAGACCAAAATTTATATGTCATATCTTCGACTTTAATAGTATCGAATTTGGGTATTAGATAAAAAAAATTAATTTTAATTTTTCGAGTCTCTATAGACGAATTTGATTTTTGCCCCCTGTGCGACACGCCTTAACCGTTTCAAATCCGAGCCAAAATTTATATGTGACATCTGTGAACGCAGTATTACCGATTGAGGGGATGAGACTGAAAAAAAACACGTTCATTTGATTTTTTAAGGACCAACTTAATGTACATAAATGCACATCATTGATGCCGGTACTGTGACATACGCAATTACCTAAACACCATTTCGTATTCACGTTGCATACATAATCGTTATAATAGAGGGGTTTTGCCGCCAAAACGAGCAAAGTATGTAAACAGTTTTACGTGATTGTTGGGAACTACGCATGTAGTATATATTTACATATTTGTGGATGTACATATGGCTGCAACTATTAACATTAAGGTGATTCACCTCACTTGCAGAACTGTTTTATTTTTTAGTTTTTATGCCTTAACAAAATATTAAATGGTTTGCAGAAAACTTTTTTAAATCGAGGCCAAGGATTATACACTCGTTTTCTGAAAAGAAAGTATCAGAATTCAAAACTACACAAAATTTTTTTTTTTAAAGTTCGGCGAGTTTTTGTCACAGCCGATAGTACGGTGGTTATTTAGTCATAACATGAACTAAATATTATGATTATTTTGAAAAGTACATAGACATTTTTTGGTGACCTATCTTAATGTTCATTTAAGTATGCAAGTACGTGCATACTATGTACATATGTCTATAGCAAAGTTTATGTGTAATAAAAAGTGCAATAAATGAATAACTTCATACGTACAATATGTCATGTTGACAGTTATTAATAGACAATTAGAATGCTTGTAACAAAATTATGCTATTGCACTTTTCATATTTTACTCAATCCTACGCACTTTACGCGCATCAATAGTTTCTTGAACTTTCCGGTCAAACATGCATAAATAGTATTTGAGTACTTCTTATACGTGTAATTACTTACACTTGTAAATATGTACATACATATGTATATACTATCTATGAAAATATGTTATTATGTATGCATCTGCATATACAGTGAAACCCGCTTAAATACCCCTCGCCTAAGTACCTAACCCGCTAAAGTTACCAAAATTTTTGGGCACCGTGAGTTTTTTTTAATGTAGTCTGAAGAAAATCCCTCTCTTAAGTACCTCCCCGCCTATTTACCCAACCCGCCTAAGTACCTAAATTTTTCGTACCCCATCTACCATTTTACTTATAATTTTCCCCTTTTAAGTGCTATTTTCAAATTTCTTAAAATATTTAAATATTTTCAAATTCAGTGACACCGCTACAAAAATTATAAAAATCAACGGTAATTTTTAGCCACTTGAAACGTGCTCATTGCGCTAATTTTGAAGGGGCCAAAAACTGTATACTCAAAATAATTTAACACTGCTGAGAAAAAAGTTTGAAATTTTGATGAACTTTTTTCAGTGTTTTTCAAAATTTTAAGCTTGGGTTTATATGGTATTTTTAATTTTTAAATTATATGTCTTAGATAACAGTTATCGAAGACTTTTATTTATAAAAGTCATAAATGTAAATCAGTCAGTGACCTTTATTTTTTAAATCATACTCATTTGTATAAGTCGTAGTCATTTGTATAAGTCGTAGTAAACTTTTATTTCCCCAACACCTTCTTAACTGCGAAAAATGTTAACGACTTTTATACGAATGATTTAAAAAATAAAAGTCGGTGACTGATTTATATTGATGACTTTTAAAAGTAAAAGTCACTGAGAGATTTTTATTGATGACTTTTATAAATAAAAATCTTCAATAACTGTTATCTAAGAAATATAACATAAAAATCAAAAATAATTGTTATTTTTTAAATTTTACATAAAAATTGCAAATAAAAATTTACTTTCAAATTTGAGTCTCGGTGAGAAACGAAATCAATTGGTACTTAGTTGTAGAACATTTCCTTCAAAGTGAATTTTTCCATGAGAGTTTTCAGCAATAACTGTTATGTTCGGTCCCTGATATGTATAAAGAATTAAATTTTTGTAAAAATTACATAAAACTGCTGTATTTTTTTTTTTAATAAAGGTTTTCTCTATTGTTTATTTGTGGAAATAGTGCTACGATCTTTGTCTTAAACTACGTACACTTCATTAAATATTCATGTTTTATTCAAGGATTTATTTATGTAAATGAACATGAAGATGTAGCTACATCAATAATTAAGTATGTTCGCTAAATAACCGCATCGAGGTAATTAAGCGGGTTCTTGTAATAGTACCCAACCCGCCTAAGTACCTCAAAAGGCTGAATTTTTTCGAGAGTTACTTAAGCGGGTTTTACTGTACATACATATGTATATTTGTATGCGTGCATATGAGTTTTGTGTACACACTTTATGCCAATTACAAAAACTCCCCCCAATTAATTATTATTATTGCTTCTCTCATTTTATTTTCTGTTTTATTAAAACTCAACATAACCGGAACTCTTCCTTGTCTGGTTGCTGAGTTGCGACTCTCGCACTATTAGCAGATCTGTTGGTTAAGGCCACGTGATGGCTTTGGTCTCATGACACAAATGAAATGTTGATTTGATGAAAAAATATGGGTAACGTTACGCCTTCAATTGCAAATATTAAAAGCATATTTATTTACATATGTATGTATGTATGTATGTATACACATATGTATATATGTATGTAAGTATATAAAAGCTTGCAATAAATGCTGTATCTCATACATACAAGCCTGAGAATTCGTAAAACGGATAACATTTTTCCGCGATGTTGAAATAGATTTTTTTTTTATATATATAGATTGTTATTATTTTTAGGGCATATATAGCGCTGCGACCTTGCTAGATCTATTGTGCTAACCCTTATCAAGCCACTCCAACCTTAGGCTGTCTAGCCCACAAAACCTGCAGTTCGTCTCCTCAGAGAGTTCCATCTTGTGCAGATGGTACCCCAGCCTGCAGTGTCCTGTCAGGTATCTGGTGTGAGTTCTTAAAGCCTCTCTGCTAAGATTTAGCAGCCGTTCATAGATTCCTCGAGAGGGAGTTATGAATCTTTTGGACTGCCTATTACCCTTTGTCGAGCGCCATTGGGTTGTAACTTGCAAGTCCTCCCATCCCCTTAGGAGCTCTGCTCTATATCCTTTGGATGGACCAAAGAAAGGCTGAGGGCTGATCAGGCTCCGTTGGGCACCGATTTTCGCTATATTGTCAGCCCTTTCGTTGCCATCGAATCCCTCATGACCCGGAACCCACCATAGGGTTACTCTGTTACTGGCTCCTAGTCTGACCAGTACTATTTTGCAACTGTCTACTACATTTGACACCGTTTTACAAGAGTCAACGCTGCCTGGCTATCCGACATGATGTTTACTGTTGTCCCATTTGTCCCTCTACGAAGACATTCGTTGATACAGACTTCAATTGCAAAAATTTCCACATGGAATATGGTAAGTTATAGGTCCATATACGCCGACCCCAGTGTTGCCATCCTGAAGCTTCGAACCATCAGTGTGCCAGACTTAAGTTCCCTCGACGAACATGGCCATTATCGTTTTACAGGTATCCCTTTCAGGCACTATTACCTTGTAGGGCTTTGTAAATATCAGCTTCGGTAGCATTGAGTCTGCGAATTTTACAAAGGGATCATTTATGAATGGCCTTAGGACACCCAAATGACCCCTTAAGTTCCCACGTTTCAAGCTACTTAGGCTCGGTAGCCTCAGGGCGCTCTAGCAAGCCTCTTTCTCTATAGGTGTGGCTAGAGGCGGTATGCCTGTGTTGACACCAAGCGCCTCTGTCGGGCACGAGCGTATAGCACCCATTATGGCCACACAAACCAGGCGGTGGAGCTTACCCAGATTGACTTTAGAGGTTGTCTGCTGGGCTTTTGGCCACCATGCCAGTGCCGCATAGGTGACAATCGGGTTTTTTCACAGTATTGAATGACCAATACGTTAATTTGGGGGATGTTCCCCAAGTCTTACCATGTCGTGGCTTTATTGGTAACCGCTGTGAGATGGCGAGTTCCAGTTGAGTCTCATATCTAGTATTACGCCTAGATATTTTGCCTCTTGTGAGTACTCAATCTGTGTCCCGCACAATTTGAGTTTGGGTAAGTTGACCTTCCTTTTTTGTGGTAAATGGGACGATGATGGACTTCATTGGACATTATTTTTGATCAAAGCAAATGGAATCTCTAAAAATTTACAACGCACTCTAACATAACCTAAATCATCAAATTTAATAAAATCAAAACTTTTTTATACAAAATCTACGGAAAATATCTTTTTACGTAAATCTAGAATTTCGCTAAATTTTTAAAGTTTAAAAGTTTATTTATTAATTCAATAAAATTTTAGACATATAGCAACCCTATTCAAAACCTTTTATTCCCAACTAGAAAATGGCATTTTGAACATTTCAAGTCATTTGATAAACTAGTGAAAGTGAAAAGCGATCCGTTTCACGAATTCTCAGCCACATACATATCTACGTTGTCTGGCGAAAAAAGGTTATGGACGCAGCAAAGAAATTCATATTTTTTTTAAGTAAAAGATGCAAGAGAGAAAAGATCAGAAATTAAAAAAAAAAATATATAGCAAATAAACGAGATTCCCAAAATTGATAACCCAACAAAATCGGTTAGTTCCTCCGAAGAGGAATGAAAAGTTGGCACAGTCAGACACACAAGCATTTTGCGCACACAAAACATGAATCGAACTATACGCTCCCACAACGATTGCCGGCTCTCTTTTTGGCTTGGCTGATCGCTAATTGTGCGAAACAAGTGAGCGCCAAAACAAAAGGCCCACAGAAGCAACAGCAACAGTCGTCAGCGGCAACATTTGTCATTCATTTGGACTGAGCAATTCATTCATCGAATTGCAACGAGGCGTGAAAGAGCGTTTTTTTTCTTATAGACGTTGAGTGGCAACAATTTTGTAGAATAAAAAGAAAATTTGTGTTAAAACAAAAAACAAAAAAAGAAACAAAAACTAAATGATTAACACATAAATGAGCAACTTACAAATACATACCTACTGAAATATAAGTAAATGTTTATATGTACACTAACACAACGAAAAATTGGCATAAACAAAACGTTCTACGTGAAATCGTAATTAAATTTTTGCGGTTAATTTGAAGATTTATTTAAAAGGAAACATCGCGTAATTAAGAACATTCAGTTGTGAACGAGCTGGCGCGCAGTCAAGTGTATTGAAGAAATAGGATATTTGGCATATTTTTTTGGAAGATTGTGAACTCAAGAAAACTGTTATTTTAAATAAATTCACCCTGCAAATAAAAGTGAATCGATCAGACCGCGAGCAACAGCGATCAGTAGTGTCAAGTGCATTTATTTTGGTGCAATAAACTGCTGCACAACAACACACATCTACTTTTAGTGCGAATAAGCTGTAACTTTTATTTCGAAATTTTGTTTTGACACAAAACCCTCGTAGCAACAAAAGAAAGTAGCATGTCCTGCAAAGTGTTTTCATATCTGCTGAGTGTTCTACTGATCGCACAGATACCCATAAATGGCATCAGTGCCGGTACGGATGACAACGAAATCTACAATTTGCCTGAATACTATTGTGAGTGTTTGATTTTGAAGGGATTTTGGTTTTTTATTAAAAAAAATTTTATGTACATACTTATGTATATCCGCAACTAAAAATTGCACTTAACCATTAATACGTATGTATGTTTGTATACATGCTTGTGAAAAAGAAACGAACTTGCTGTGTCGTTTAATCAAAAAAAAAAAAAAAAAAAAAAAATTTTTAAAAAAAAAACTTCTTGAATTTTGACATTGAATGTTATCAGTTTTAAACTCGTGATTCAAGTGTTGTTTTGACTGCTTATTCTATATGCTGTGCGTTTAAAGCTGTATTTGTGGCCGATTGAAAAGATCATGATTTGAATAAATACGAAAATAATGTTCAGAAACTAACAAAAATGTGCATGAATACGTGCAAACCCAAGCAAAAGTACGAGACAATCTTATATAAAATAATTACAAAATGTGGTTGTGATTGTAACCAAATTCAAAATAATATTGTTTGCCACTTAGTTATGCTGATTAATTATTTTTAAAGAATTTCATTTAAAGTACAGCCTATTGTTTAACAAACACCCAGAATACAACTTTCTGAAAAACTTAAATAATTGTGTTGCAAACTTCAAACTTTTTTTCAAAAGTGTTGAAATTGGCATTGCTTTTTTAGAATTGCGAAAAAGTGTTGCAAAAAATACTCTGAAAGGTTAAAGGGACTATAAAACTATAAAAAACCTATTACACTTCTGAGAAAAAATCTTGAAAATTGAATGAAAATTTGTTGATTTTTTTTTTAGTTTTCTTCAATGCTTTATTTTACTTGAGTTTTTTTTTGAGAGGATGGAAGTGTACTTTAATTGAAATTTCTTCAAAAATAATAATTGAATTTGCGAAAAAGTGTTGCGAAAAAATATTCTGAAAGGTTAAAGGGACTAACCAAAAAAAATTCTTACACTTCCGAGAAAAAATCTTGAAAATTGAATGACAATTTGTTGAATTTTTTTAGTTTTCTTCAAATTTCTTTAAAAATAATAATTAACATAAGTGGTAAGCAATATAATTTTGAATTTACCAGAAAATTATTAAAATTTTATTGTTAACAACACGGTTCAACAAAATTTGGGCGAGTTGGAGCTCGAAAACCAGGCCGATCCCATCTTACAAATTGTTTTCATGGTGATTTCAGGATCCTAGGTCCATTTACGAAAACTTTCCAAAAAGCCTACTTTTTGAGAAAAAACTGTCAGTGTCGAAAAATCCCAATTTTCAAAAATTAAAAAAAAATGGAGTCTGTTGGATTCTACCTCAAGCCGATGAGTTGTAAATGAAAAAAAAACCCCTTAACAATTTTTTTTCATAAACTGGACGTGTTAAAAAGAATTTGTTAATGCACTTTAAATCTGCATTAAAAAGTCTACAAGATGGAGTAGTTTTCGAAATCAAAGTCGTCCACGTTTTATTGAGCCGAAAAATTTTTTATTAACCAATTTAAAAATAATACAAAATTTTTGTGGAATTAAAAATATCGGATGGATATTTGTATTTATCTAAATTCACTCCGACTAAATTATTATTAGGTAAAATTTTTAATCTTAAAAGTCTTGAAAGTCGATTAAATAACAGTGCATAATTTTCTTTTGTGTTTGTCGAAGTGTCATTTCTTCTTGTTCTTGATAGTCGCTGTAACCGCATGCCAGTCGATTCTCTTCTGTGCCAACTGATGCCAATTGGAAATTCGAAATGAAGCCAAGTCTTTCTCCACTTGGTATTTCCATCGCGGTGGGAGCTTTCCTCTTACTATGTTACCAGCATCGCGACTTATAGCTTTGCCAACAATGACGTGGTAGCCGATTCGCATATGTTCCGACTATTTTTCTGATAACAACAGACATTTCGTTTTGTACTCATTCATCACCAGGCGCATGCCGAGAGGCAGAACGGACGTAGTTTTTGCTCTTAAAAATCTTCTCCTAGCAGGTTTCTTAAGGTTTGGACCAGGCCTAAATCCACACTGATAAGACCCAATCAGCTCGTTGACGTTGGGCTGCCGTCTTTCTTACAATACGCTCGATAGGTGTAAGCATCCGGTGCTTCACAGGCTGTTCCCCCGCGCTAGTAGGCACGTATGGCCTGGTCGCCTCTCCTGTGGATTGGGATAGCCAACGTCATTTCCAGTCATCTGGAATGAGTTCATCTGCTATATTCTGCAAAAGAATTAAAGCGTGCACCTTATCAACTTGCCGCTGCCGCACTTGAATAGCTCAGCTGTCAGGCCGTCAGCTCCCGCAGCTTTGTTGTTTTTCAGGCGAGAAATTGTCATAGTCAAGCGATGGGACTTCAATTCCATCGCCATCGATTGTGAGCTCGGGCTCGTCTTCTCCACTACCTACTACTACTGTCTGTGCTACTGTCATTAAATAGGGAGGAAAAGTGTTCTCTCCATAATTTAAATACGTTCTGAACATTAGTCACTAGGACGTCATGGTTGTTCATAAAGGAGTTTGCTTTGATCTTGAAACCTTCCGTAAAAGCTTAAACAGACGGCAGCGTTGATCCGGACTAACTCGGACTTAATCCGGATCAACTGCAGTTAATTTCCGAGTTGATCCGGATCAACGCTGCCGTCTGTTTATGCTTTAAGTCGCCTATATGTATGTATGGCTTTTCTCCTCATTTTACGGGTGGTGCAATCATACGCTACGTATACTGCTAAGTATCTAATACGTTGAAATGGGAGAAAAATCTTGCATGTCGGCGATTTCTACTGTTTTTCATCTAAGCAACGAAAAAATGCTTTTGGACTTGTACGGTTGTCAAACTCACACATTCAATAAAAAAGCTCAAAATTTTGATAATTTTTTGCAAAAGTTTCAAACTTTGACTTACATGGCTCTTGTTAGATAAAAAATAATAAACATTAAACAAACGAAAGATAAATAGTCAAAGAATGCTAAAATGTCACTACTTTATTTATATTTTCGCCACTGTATATCTTAAATTTTTAATTTTTTGCTTACTTAATGCCTCTGAAAAATAAAGTAAATGATTAAAGATCATCACTAATATCGCACAGTTACTTTTCAAGTGTTTATTATCCGTACCTCAATGGTTCATTAATTAAGTGAGAGAAATTAGGTCAAAACGTTTTACCTGTAACCAAAACAATTGCCGCTTTAGCTGTAAGCAAAACAGATGTATCGCACAATACATTTTACGTATCGCTCATTTACTAGAAGATTGTCACAACTAAAAAACGAGGATTTTGAGCTAATGACTCATGCGGTTATCGGTGATATGCATTTTGAGGCGAAATTGTAAACGTTAAACAGGTCTCCTAAAATATGGCTTTTTCTGAGTTATGACAGTCTTTTAATAAATGAGCGACATGCACTATATGGGGATATTATTAATAACTAAACAAATACTTGCAAACAATTCAAAACGTGAAATGTGTTTTATTATTTAACGGCTTTTATGCTGTTTATTTTTGTTATGGGTACATATGTACATATTTATGATTGTTGGAAAAAAGATTGAATAAACAAAAAAGTTATTCAAGAAATTTTAAAAAGTTCCCATCATGCAATAAAATCAGGCCGATTTGATGACTCTTTTTTTAATAAAATAAAAACTATTTATGTGCATATCATTACAAAGGACCATAACTGAAAAATTGTGGTTTAAATATACCGTTAGCTCGATTCATTTATTAGCACCATAAGAATATCATATTAAACTTAAGAGGTAAAATTTAAAAACTTACTTAGGGATGATTTATTTAGGAAAAAATTTCCGTCACTCTTTGTCAAATTTGGTACATTTTTTTCTTAGTTTGTCTCCAAGCTTAAATTTTAAAAAGTTGACGGAATTTGGTTTCGAAATGTAAAATACTCCTACTCTGTCGAAAGAAATCACTGACGACAAAATAATGCAGATAAGTTGAAATCTATCCATCTTCTATATATAAGCTGAGCCCAAACACTCGGTTTTTGTGGTAAATTTGACCGAAACCCAGATCGAGCCCGAGCGATTTAAATTTATACCTTATTAAAGCCTTTAAGTTGACTTGGTCCAATCAAAGAGAAGGTATGGAGTACGTAAATATTTAAACTAGAGATGTAATGGATATCCCGTTCGACGAATATCCGGCTTAAATTTACCATTGGACCGAATGCTGGATATTGAGTTACTATCCGGAGCAAAAGTATCTTTGTTAGACTTATAAAAACGTTCCATTAGTGAAATTTTTAAAATTAGTACTCAAAATAAATTCATCAGTAATTTTTTGTAGAAATGCCTCTTGGAACGTAAACAATAACATCTTGACCTGGCTGACTGTAGAAAAAGCACTGAAAGCTTCTTTTAAAGGAAACTTAAAAATCAACAAATTTTATGTAAGCTCAAATTAAGTTTTTCTATGCTGAGGAAGATGGGCACGGGTTGGTCTTTAGAAATATATTTATTTTGGTGACAAATAGATTATGGACTTGCTATCCGGCCACCGGATGTTCGGTATCCGGTGTCCGCCCAAATCACTATCCGTTACATCGCTAACATAAACATATAATTTTTTAATATAATATGGCAGGGACAGAGCTGCAATTTGGGTGTTGAAAAATTGATAAGCTTTTGGAGCTGACGTCCTGTTAGCCAAGGTATTCAATTATATTAGCCAAAATCGCTTAGGCGGTTATAGCGCCAAACAAGAGGAAGAATAGAAATGTTAGGGAATGTCTCTGCCTCACAACGAAATGTCGATTTTTCCACCGAAATTACCAAATTTAGTATATTTTAAAACCTCCGCCAAAATATCCTGGAAAAATATTGAGGTTTACGTGAACTGGACAGATTTGAACAAATATCATTTTAATTCCGCTTAAACTCTTGTGCCACTGAGGTGATTTAAAAACTAATATTTATAAAAAAAGAAACGATTTTTGAAGGTATTTAATGCGTTCAGCCGGGAATTTTCTATCGGAAAGTGGTACCTCAAGGGTTGTCCCATACTAACTTGGTTTAGATCCGGTCCTGGGATCATGAAGAAATTGACGGGGCTCCTAAATTTTAATACATATGGGAATTGAAGTCGGTTGTGTTTGTTGCTTACATTTTTTTTTGCAGTGATGCACCCTAACGCACATAAGTATTTACTATAGTTGAATCTGTTATAGAAAATTTTAAAATTAATCGCACTGTAAACCGAAATTGTAATGAGGAAAAGGACAATCCTTTTATGGTTCGCCTATACAAGGATACGTTTGATTATAAATTCTTGTTCCACCTGTGGGATTTTATGTACATACATATCTACGTAATAATGTACAGTAAATTCTCAATTAAAACTATTCTTGCATATGCAACTAACTAACTAACTCAAATTTTTTTTAATGACATTTTCAGTGCTGCAAGGCGTCAAAGTCTATCCAGGGGACCGTGAGTGCGCCATGGTTGGTGGCTTATGTGTGCACACCAGCGACTGTTTGGAACCGACTACGAATCGCGGACTTTGCCCATCGCACACACATCGTGGCGTGGAGTGTTGCTACGAATGTAAGTGAAAAATTCTTAAAACTTACACTTATTGGTTACATAAATAAAATTTACAAAATTCCCGACAGTGAATCCTGAAAAACTGTGAATTAAAAAAAAACAAACAAAAAAACATAAATACTTCAAACACAACCTTATCCTACATACATACTTTGGGTTTCACTAATACATATATAAATTAGTATTTCTTGCACACTCACTAACTCACTCTATTTTTATATTCTTCTTTAATCTTCGCTCAACTATCACCTTTCACATGCCACCTGCCACCTGCCACCTTTGACCACGATTCCATTCACGAATCTCTTATCCAACTATTCCTGTTTTGCATATTTCTATGCACCAATCATCTAATTGAAATTCAACAATCGCCTATGTCTTCGACGACGTGGCCACATTCCATGGCGACTGAAATCATTCGTCGTCACAAAATAATACCTTTTCACCTGAAACTTTGGCACCCCCACCGCACTTTGCATAATCATTCTGCATACCGATTAGTGCCACTGAGGCCCGCACCGTGTGAAGAGCATTTGGGCGCCTGCATGGATAGATGTAATGAGAACCTACAACGACCGGGCATCGATTGTCCAGGCGGACAGGTTTGCTGTGTCTTAGTCTAAGCCTCTACAAAGAGTTGACGCTTCTTCTTTCGGACGTGTGCACATACATATTAATAATATTGATATAATTATTAAAAGAGAGATATAACTTAGATATGTATATACAAGCAATACATATGTATGTATGTATATGTATGACTAAAACATGTTTAACTAAAATAATTTAAGCTTTAAAAATCGCTTGATTAAAAAATAGGCGAGTGCATCATATGCAAACTCATTTAATGTAAGTAAACTTATTGAATGTAATTTTCCTATTTGATTTTATGTTTTTTTTTTGTTTTTGTTTTTAGCTTAGTTTCGCTTTGTGTAATTTTAGGTTTACACTTAGGTTTTAAATGCTAATCTATGTATTGCTTATGTATTGTATAACCTCATCGTTTATGTTGGTATGTAATATGTGTGAATTACAGTTAACTTTGACAGCAGCTAAACCAAGAAAAAACTGTGTAAAATGTCTGTAAATAAATCTGATTTATTTAAATATAAAAATAAAAGTATTCGCGGTCTTATATTTCCCTAGTTAGCTTTATTTCCACTTAAACTTGTAGGTAAGTAGGTAAGTACACAAGGAAAATATTCAAATGAGGTTTAAATTAAATTGTATACATTTTATTTCTTCTTCTTGATTGACTCTGTAACCGCTTAAGCGATTTTGGCTGAGTCCTCAATCCAAGCGAATTCGGGGCTTTCGTTGGAATCCACGCGCATAACCCCAACCTGGGGCGTTTTTGAATAAAGGTTTACAATATGTATAAAGCAAGCCGCTTCCTGAAAGATAGGCATCCGCGCGGGGCTGCATTTTTTTCTGAATAGACGCTATCGACCTCAGCGGCCCTTAAGATGAATAAGTCAGTGTGGCTTCTTATCTTTCTACCGCGATCCAAAGCTCCACTTGGATTGTTTACCGAATCTCACACATGGATTACTCACGGTGTTCAGAACGCGCCAACAGGGAAGCAAGAGTCGAGGATTTAGTATGGTTGTGCAACTATAAGTGCATACCCAGAGGAACGACCATAACCCACTAGAATATTTAAGACAATAATTTACACTGGTACAATCATACCTGCCGTTTCGTAGATCATTACTACATACCTCCCTTCAACAGACTATTTCGTCGAGCTCGCGGGCATTTGAACTCGTGAACTCTGAATCACAAAGATAAGTTCGCCACAAGCAAGTTTCATCTTTATCTTTTTAATTTAACTTAATAGAAACTTAGTAGAACCCCAACTAAACGATCAAACATTGTTGGTGGTGTATATTGGGAATCCTAAGTACACCAAGTCCTTTCCAATTTCAATTTTATAACTGCCTGTGTATCAAAATGCCAAGGACTTTTCATGTGTTGCTAGGCGTTACTTTGCCGTGTCCTCGTTCACAGCTAGATGCAGATTTTTCTTCTGTTTCTAAACTCACAAAATGCTGCGCAGACTCCCTGGTTTTCAGGCCAACGATGGCAGTATCCCGCAGTAGTGCCGCAGACGATGGAACGCAGAGCTGTTTGAGCTTTACAACGGCATGGACATAGGTCAGCAAATTAAAATAGAGCGGCTCCGCTGGCTTGTCATTGTTGTTCGAATGGACACCGACGCTCCAGCTCTGAAAGTATTCAACTCGGACTGGTGGTATCAGAGGAAGAAAGAGGCCTCACTGCGTTGGAAAAACCAGGTAGAGAAGGACTTGGCTTCACTTGGCATTTCCAATTGGCGTCAGTTGACACAGAAGAGAAACCACTCGCGTGCTTTTTTGAATCGCTTAGGCGATTACAGCGCCAAATAAGAAAAGAAGATGTCAGTATCATCTGTACATTTATGGTATATCTGCGATTCCAGCATTACACTGAAAAAGTCTCATGAGTGGGAATCGCTTGGTCTAAACCCACGTTTGGTCGTAAACAGCGCGGACAGATGCTTGAACATTTGAACGGAGCTGAATGTTGTACTCAGCGTCACTCTATACCGCCGTATTAGTTTTGCGGAAATTCCAAATTTAGACATGGCGTCGTATAGGCAGCTTCTCTTTCTACTATCAAAAGTGGCTTTAAAATCGACAAAAATATGGTGTGTATCGAGTGTCTTCTCTAGGAATTGGCGCACTGTGAACATATGGTCGACTTACCGTATATGCCTTATTAAGAAGACTATTATTGGCGCAAACTTTGGGCATGTATTTAACATATGAAATTCTACTTGAAATCAGGTACCTGCTCCCTACCAGCTCTTTGCCGACGGATTTGAACAGATCAGCCGGTAAACCGTATACTCGAGGCGCTTTGTTGTTTTTAACCGCAGTTCTCGCCTTTTCTTGGTTAAGTGGAGGAACGTGAGCTTCATTCCTTTACATTGGCTGCAACAAGTCGGTTGATTTGATGCTGGCTCCTCGGAAGGAGCGCATATCAAGAACGCTCGAAGCGTATCTTCCATCTACCATAACATGATCAATTTGGCTCTTCGCTCTTTGATCAGGGGACACCCAAGGGGCTTTGAGGATGCTTCAAGGGTGGTGCCTGGTACTTCTTATTATCATGGACTAGGCGCTCATTGAAACGCTCCTTAATCTCAAAGCTTTTTTTTGCCGTCGGGGCGTCCACACAAGTTAGGCTGATGTTATTGGATTTTGCCTTTCTGCGGGTTGTGACAATTCGTTCACTGATGAGGGTGGATCTCGAGATAAGATGTTGTGGTCGCCGCCCAACCCCAAATCCTACAGCAAATGTATGCGTCGTCTTATGGTAGCTTTGGTAGATGTCACACGCTGCATTTTTGATGCAGCCTTGTCTCGTCCATCGCATTTCCTGGATTGCAGTGATGTCAGTCTTTTATACATATTTCGAGGACATCCAGCAGAGGATAGAGGGTCCGGATATTTCAAGTGTATATCCAAGTGCAAACGTGCGAGGGATTTCAAGGTTTGGGGACCAGTCATCCAAGACCGTTTGGGTCTTTTCAGTGGAAGGCATTTGCACGTGGCGGGTCCAAAACCCAGCACACAACCATTGCCGAAAGGAGTCGTATTTTAACCGGATACACGTTTATACTGGTGAACAGACGCTGCAGACTTCAGTGAGCCATTAATCCGAATAAGTCGGAGTGGCCTCACCTGAGCCCCCTCTCTTTCTGCCGTGACCGAAGGTTCGACTCGTTTTGGTTACAGCATCTCGCACATGGGTTTCTCACATTGCCAAGAGTGTGTCAACGAGGCCGGAAGAGTCATTTATTAACACTTTGGAAACTCATTGGAAACGTAACTTCCGATACGATAATTGAACTATGTACGAGTATTTAGTGCGAAATTCGCGGTCAGAAGCTTAAGGCAGTGTCACACGATTGGTATATTTTTGTACAGATTTGTAAATTTCTTTTAATGGGCTAAGGGTACAAAATAAAAACGAATGGAACGACAGTTTTTTTTGTGGGCACACGATTGGTACAATACAGCCAACTTCTATTGAAAAATTTTAACAAATTGTTTTTCGTGATTGCATTAACACGATTGGGTTTCGATTTGCACCAAATTTTGGGCAAATGCCCAAATCGTGTGGCACTGTCTTTATAGTAGAATTTAATAACAAATATTTTCGTAAAACATTCTAACCCGTTAAATCCCAGCTTTATGTGTATTTTTGCTCTTTTCTAAAAGAGGAGGAGTTAGAGGGTTAAAATCTTCCACATAAATGTTCCACGCCGTATTTTATATAAAACTCCTTTCTTGCGCCGATTTCCCAGAAAAATTCGCAAAAGGAGTCAAACTTTGAGCCCCCCTGAAATAAAACTCCGGCGTAAGCTTTTAAAACACCGATTACACTTACACCAAAAACCGTTGTTAGAACCTTGCCAATATTTTGTTTGTGTTGTACAGTGTAATTTACACGCTGCACGTCTGTGTGGAAAGAAATCCACATGCCAAGTACAGTAGACGCTCACAACTTAGAACCCCACTGTAATTGATTTGGTTCGGATTGTCACATTGTTCTAATATACAGTAATTTTATTGGTTTTTTGTTTCATGATTACAACACTTACTAATACATATTACGATATTCAGCAGAGTGCACATCTTTCGCTTTTGCTTCTTCATAAGTTTTGGAAACAGCATTCAGAATCAGTGCATTCTTGTACTTAATGTAGCTGATTAAGGGCTTCGCAATATTAAAATTACGAGCTAGTCGATTGGCTTGTACTGCTTTATTTAGGTTATTTAAGAATTCTAATTTTCGAGTGTTCAATGCTTCAAAATATTTGGTTCTAATAAGTGGAAGTTTTTAATTTCTGAGAGTTCTAAGTTCGTGAGATTCTTCTGTACTTTTGTTTTTAATTGAAACTGGGGTCGTGTATATAGTGGTGTAAATACACACACCATGACTATTTTAAATATGACTTAATTTCACTTCATAATAGATTAATTTTATTTACGGTCACTTGCGTACTTATTCATCAACGTAATTACTTATTTGAGTTCAATGTCAAGTTCATCGCTATAATCAACGAAAATGTCTGTTCATGCATACCTACAACATATACATACATATTTACATATATCAAAATTAATAGTAGGACATTTTTAGTGCTTTACTTTTGATTTACTTATTCAATTAAAAATAGTAAATATACCCGCGTGTTGTTTTCAGTGTTGCCAAGCTTAAAAATTTGAAAAAGCACTATAACCCAAGAAAACTCGCTTTTTCTCGAAAAAAACACCAATTTTTCTTAGAGTATTTTATGAACTTTGTATGCATAAAAAATTTTATTGTAGGGACGCCGATCCAAATTAATAAAAATCAATGTCTTTTGCTCGCGGGTCCAATTTATTCTGTTTCTATAAATTCAAATATTTTTGTTCAAGCGACGTAAGCATTGTTGCTATAATTTTTAGTTTGCACTTTTGTCCAGCGTTGTCGTTTGATAAATACATAAACGCTATCAGTTAAATACATAAACGCTATCAGTTGACTGTCTGTCTTTGATTTCACCACACATTTTTGGTGAACTTTTTGTGACTCTCTCCTACTGAATACCCAAATCATCTTAAGTCACACAAAAATAGTCACTAATTGCTAATCTCAAATTTAGTGACTTGAGATGAGACTTAATTACTGAATCCCAGGGTTAGTGTCTTTAAACAAAAAAAAAAGCACCAAAAAAACCAACCAAGCACTAAACTTGAACAATTTCGCGTTTTGAATAAAGATAAGTACTAAATTTTGCGCGAAAAGCACCAAGTTGGCAACAATGGTGGTTTTCGTTTCGAGAAGAAATTCAAATACGCCTCAGTTTATGAAGTAAATAAAAACAAGATTATAATCGTCGATGTGTTTACTTGTAAATGACCTATTGACTTACTAAAGCAATAAGCTTCTGGAATATTGTGAAAAAATTTTGTTCTCATCATTTCCATTAAAAGCAGACGTCTACAAGTTTCGAAAAACTCAATTTTTGTGTGAGCACTTTTCATTACATTCTCTATTAATTGAAACTACGTGCTAGAGAATGTTTTGTTTACACAAAAGGC